AGACTTCACTGAGGAGACAATCCGTTCATGGTAAAGTAGTTGACTGTCTTTTAACTTCAGATATTGGCCAGCCAAGCTTGCGTCGAGACGAACTTCACTAGAAGCTCACGACTGCGGATTTCGACGTCTGCGAACAGCCAATCACAGTTGCTGCATATAAGCCTTTTTGGGCCGGCGACGAATATCATGACTGCAAGCGTCGCGACGCAGTCTACCTGTCTGGCTCAGTATTCGTCAAGGCCGACTCAGCTTATGAACGTTTTCTCTATCTACTGGCCTGACTGCTGCCAAACCAGCACTTCGACGTGTCTGGCTCTCCTGGCTGGTTGTGTGCTCTCCGAGACAAACCTTTTTCCATATATTCTCCGTTCTTTTGTGTACACAATATACTGTTTTTACACTCTACCCTATTCAAGACTTCCCCTCTACCAAGTAACCATCGTCTAAGGATAGAAGTTACTCCCGTTCAACTTACTTAGCCATTGTGATAAATGTACCTCGACAAAAAGCTTATGTTTTCTAAGGAGCAGACATATTTCATCGTCCATAGAATGAAACAACGCACAAACACCTCAGGCGAATTTCTTGTTTTGTGATAATACATTCAGGCAGAAGGGGCTTAATATGCCTAAGGCATGCAAACTACGTCATACGGGATATGTTAGCAATCGTAAACAATGCTTACTGGAGTAACTCCGTCAAAAACAAAGATGGGTTCCAATTCGCATTTTCTCAAATTCAACAAAAACCGCTCAACAACAGCAGCAAACTGAAGGTATTCGCCATTGAATTGGTTCAAAATTAAGGCTCCGCTGTACAGAGAGAAGGCAGCATTTGGGCCGTCAACGATAATTGGAGTCTTATGCAGCCTGATAGTTTTGAAATTGTCGGGATTACTTTCCAAAAACTTACGAAGAAGCCGTATTCCCATGGCGGCATATAGCACAGCAACCGCAGCAAGCAGAAAATGTAAACTGACGTGCACTTCGCTGGTGCCCCATTGGCTGCAACCAATGACAGAACTGCCAATGGAAATGCAAGGTCTTAAAGTGGCATCGCTATATCACAAGGTCGATTCGTCATTTTGGTTGGTGCCTCGGGTGGCGGGCTGAGCTATAGCGCCTTCCAGTCCTATCGCCATGCCGCGCGAGTATACACGTGATCGCGGCTGTAAACCTGCGCTTGGATAGCCAATCACAGGCGCCCACAAACTGCTTCCT